AGTTACAGCATCAAAAGAAAAATTTTTTTTCAGAACACGAATGCAATTTGTCAGGCAAATGCTTAAAAGTTTTTAAGGTTGTCTTTGAAATACATATAACGGTACAAAAATATATGCTTATGCAAGTAATTAGTTCTATCAAGCAAAAAAAAAAGTTTTAATTATTTATTAGGAATCAACTTTGTTTCTGTATGTTCTTTCAGCTTATCGTCTTTAAAAAATATAATATATAACTCAATTTTTGCAGTAGTGATTATTAGTTTTTTTTATTTGCTTGATGACATTTCAGTTCTGATGAAAACGGCCATTTAAAACTGCATACAAGTACCGACCAGAAAAAAGCAAATAAACAACAGCAGTTAATGATATATGTTGCCAAGCAGTTGATCAGTTTTTGAAAATTATCCCAAATATAAGCTAACAACTAATTATTATCAATAAACTCTCAAAAAAAAAGTTTATACAGTTACCTGGCACATTCTTTTTCATCATCATCTGAACCTCTCCGCCGGTCTCTAGAAAAAAAAAATGTAATCACACAGAAAAAATGAGTCAAAATTATTATCATTATTTGTTTTATATAACACTAATTTGTACCGGTCAATTACATCAATGTTTCTTTTATCCTGGTTTTTCTTTGTTAAAAATAAATTTTTGTCTACAAAAAATCGCAGTATAAAATTTTGTTATCTGATACAGGCTAAACGATTTTACTGATGTCAATGATCAAAGTTCAGCTGTCGGATGTGAATAAAAGCAGGAAAAAATGACTGTTGTTTACAAATAAGCAAAATATACATTTTTTTTTAGCCGAACAAAAAAAAGTTGGTTTTTTTTCCAACACGTCATATTCATCATATGTTAGTACAACTAGGGTTCAAGTAAAGAATGAAGAAGAAAAACAAGTTAAAAAGAAGAAACAAAAAGTATATTTTTTACTTCAATTTTTGTATTGTCGACAATACCGGAAACTCAACAGATTTTTTTTTCTTTTTATTTGTTTACAGTCTTACAGCCGGAAAAAAAGGCAGAACTGTACCTTTTTGGTTATGTATTAAGTGTCTTAAAAGCTCTTAACGATAAGAAGGCAACTAAAGAGGATAGCAAGAAGGGGGCAGGAACGGGGACAGAAATGAGGGGCGCCAGTAGAGCAATGGAGGGGAAGAAAAAGAAGTTGCAAAACAGCGATTTGCTAATGGGAGCGGACATTTTATGGGCTTAGAGTAAAATTTTAGTGCGAACATTTATCAGAATGGAGTTTTAGCTTAGACAAGATAAAACTGACCGTTTTTTTTTTCTTTGATCTGTTCCCTTAATAAAATCGTTCAATGTTAATATTAAATGTTTCATAACAGATGAAGCAAAAAAATTTGGGAATAAAATTTTTTTGTTTTAATCTTTTTTTTTTTTTTGGTTTTGTCAAGACTGCTAAAAATCGCTTTTTCCACTTTACTTGTTTATTCATTTTGATTATTCATCACTAACTGTGTGTTGGTCTATAAAATTGGTAAAAAAATTGCTTCCTTAGTACTTTAAAATGTGAAATAAAAAATATTGGTGGAAAAAAAAAGGCAAAAGAAATGCTGCGTTTCACAGTTGTTGAGGTTTTTTTTCCAGATTTTTTTTCCACCATTCCAGTACTTCAACTCTTTTGTTCAACAAGTTTAAATTTTTTTGTTCATTCTAAAAAAAAGTTTGTTTTTTTTTTCTTGCCGGTATACCAACGTTATTTGTTGGTAAGACGAAAGTCTATGGAGAAGGAGAACAACAAGCATAAATAAAAAAGATTAAGGTATGAGGAAACGACAAAAAATTGTTCCTGTTAAAAATGACAGTGTTTTATAAAAAACAAATGGAAAAAAAAGATTTAATTTATGACTGTGTAAACTTTAGCTTGCCAGCCACTTTTTCGAACTTCTGCAAATAACTGAAACCATTGAACAATTTTCCGCAGACCGGTGCACTGTTGTTGAAAGAGCAGTAATTTAAGGAATTCATTTTCAGAAAAATCTCTTAAACATCATATACTACACGAAAAATTTTTAGCTCTTCTATCGATTAATTAATTGCCCAATTAGTTAGACGTCCGTCAGTTTCTCGGTCAATAAGTTAAGTGAGTATGTTAACTTATTGGGTGAAAATGATATATGTAAAGCAATATTTGAAAACTGCTTATGAGATAAGCGATTTATACCGTCGTCTGTTAGCGAACGATGAAAAATGTGAGAAGGCGGTCAGTAGTACAAGCAGTAATTCAATTTTAGGGCCAGTTAAAACAGATATTACGTAAGCGACAGCAAAGCTCTTCTTTTTCTTGAATATACTCATCTATTTCACGCCGGAAATCAGTATAGGTCTTTTACAGATACGACGATTAATTTAAAAATAATAGTTGACATTTTTTTCTTTTGACTTTAATAGTTGATAATCAATTGCTAACCTGATGTTAGAAATACGATGTAACGATATCCGACGTAGATTCCAATTGGAAGGTGAATATTTATAGATTTCTCTGGCTCCAGACCAATTTAGCCATGATTTTTCTAAGTTTTCACGCTGAAATACTGTAAATGATGTAACATTGCCCTTTTTTATCCCTATTTTTGATTTCCTATTTTGTTCTTTACAGTAATATAATAGTGAATGAAAAAAAGGGTAAACGAGAGATAAAAATAGAACAGTTAATAAATAATGTTCTTCTTGAAGTAACACTGAAAAAAAAGTTTTTTTTATTTCCTTGTTGCTGCTGTTGTCGTTGCCCTAGAACCTTAGAATGACGACATTTAAGCACAAGTAATGCTGAGAAAGTATGGGTACATTGATAACCTGAGTTTGTTCTCGTAATAATTTAAAGCTGATAACAATATAACCGGCATGATGCTCCATCGGTAATCTTTGGTCAAACTGTGTAGCTGTCTTGTTGATGGTATGAAGTTCATCGTAGGGACCTTTAACATACTGCATAATCTGATTCCGTTTCAAATCTTTCTTATTTAGTATAAAAAGCTCAGAACAGCAAAAGCAGCAGTAGGCAATAGCAGTATGAAAGGAAATAACCTAACTTTAAGGAACAATCATTGATGTGGATGATGCTTCAGACCTGATCAATTTGATGAATAGATTAGTCGTAAAAAAGAAAAAACAGTGAATTGTCCATGTTTTTTTTTTTTTTGCATACCCCAATTTAACATTAGTCAAATGTAATACTTTACTAAAGCTACTACTCTACAACCATTGTTGTGTTTCGTTTTTCACCAAAGATCTTTGGCATTTGAAACTAAGTGAACTTCACTTTGACTTGCCTTTTTTTCTTCATTTAACAAAAAAAAAATTGTCTTTTTTATTTGCTGCAACAACAGTTAATCAGAAACAACAAGACGAAAGTGCATCAAAGCAAACATTTTAAGTCCAACAAGATCTATGATAACTAAAACTTTTTTTCTTCCCTTCTCTTGCTTTTTTTTTTTTTTTATAATCAGATTTTTGCAGACATTTTATCTTGCGCTTATCTGGCTTTAATAGAAGATTGTAGAAGAAAAAAATGGTATGCTTTTGATATTCAGCAAAAAAAAAAAAAAGAAAGGAAAGAGGAAGCAGCAGTAAAATTAGAAAACAATTCGACAATAAAAAATGTATGTAAAGAGACGTGTAGAAAAATAAAATGAAAAAAGTTCTTAATAAAAATAGTGCTTAATGTTGTTGGAATGCAGTTGTTTTTTTTCTTTTTTTTTTTTTCCGGGAGGAGGGGGAGAAGAGGCGGTTAAGCTTTTCTGTAGTTAGTTTTGCTAACTTTTCCTTCTTTCCTTTACTTCTGCTGCTTACTTATGAAAATTTTATAACTGAACAGAGCGCCAATAACTTTGTAATCATAATTTTTTTGTCGTTTTGTTCTTCTTGTGAAAGCAAAGTGTAAGTTGACAAAAACGAACTGAAGAAATTGCAGAAAAGGAGGAGGGAAAAAAAAAATCAGAAGAAAAAGCTTGTGAAAAAAATAAGACAAAATAAGTTTTACTGTTTCCGTCTGTTGTTCATTTTTTGTTCTGTGATGATGATGATGATGATGACAATAAGTATTCTGTTTCTGTATTTTTTTTCTATCACTTATTTGACTGCTTTAGCTATTGGAGTTGATATTGAAGAGGTTGGTAAATAGACGAAGACAAAAACAGGAAAAAAATGTGTGATAGAAGCAGAAAAAGATGGATGGAAAAATAGGAAGGTCAAAATGGACAGATAGAAATATACATGATAACCGATGAAGAGGAGAAATGTTTTAATGTTTTTCTTCTTTTTTTTTTTTCTTGGCTCTTTAGGACAGATTTGTTCTTCGCAAATCCTCTATAAAAAGCAGAAAAAAAAAAAAACGAAATTAAAGCTGTTGTGATATCTGCTTGCAAATCATTCACATTGTCTTTGTCGTCATCGTTGTCGTAACTGCCGTTACAAACACCTATAAATTTTCACTCACTAAATTTACCATATCTCCTAAAATTGCCGACCAGCAGGATCAATGATTATTGACCAACCGATTAATCTTATTATGCGTATTTATGACTGCTGTTTTTTTTTTTTTTT